AGCAGGGCCTCCCACGGGCTGCAGCCACAGAGGCCCCAAAAGGGGGCCCTAAGCTAAAATGCTGCAGGGGCCCCCCCAAGCCTTGGGGCCCCACAGGCAGCCACTATAGGGGACAGCGCCTCGCTGGGGCTCCCTAAAGAGGGCCCTCAGGGGGCGCCTGAAGAGGCCCCTAGGGGGCCCCTAATGGGACCCCTAAAGAGGCCCTTATAGGCACCTTTTAGGCGGACCCTAAACACCTAAAGGGAGCCCGAAGAGGGCCTTCTGAATGGCGCCTAAACAGGTAAATGAACCCCTGAAGGAGACTCTTAATGGGCCCCTAAATACCTAAGGGAGCCCTTACGGAGGCTCTAAAGGGGCCCCTTGAAGGCCCATAAAGAGGTCTCTAAACCCCTCAAGGGGTCTCTAAAGGGCCCCCCCCGCAAGCCTATGTGCAGGGGCCCCACTGCGCTGAAAAAGGCCCCACAAGGTCTTGCAAGAAGAGCCAGTCTGCTGTGCTTTATGGGGCCGAAACGCTTGCAGTGGGGGCTGGGGACCAAGTAGTGCACAGGCACTACAATGGGGCTGGCTAGTTTCCTGGTGCCGGCGCTATCGCCAGCCCCAGTCTCCACACAATTTCCACACATTTCACGTGTTCATTAAAGCTAATAGACAGTTTTTCGTATCTTTTTCCTATTGGGAGGGTCCTGCCCTCCTCCAGTGTTGCGGCCCCTTGTAGGTCGCTAGCTAGCTATCATCTCTAGGACACTAGCCAGCCCCATTGTAGTGCCTGTGCCCTACAAGTTCCCCCCTTGCCGGACTGAAGAGACCTACCCCAAAACACATTATTTTTCCCTTTTAGTCTCTGTGCTCTTCTAAAGCTGACGTCGTGACCGCACGCGGTGCGCAGCGCTCCCTCATCCCTCCTCATTGAAGGGTGCCCTTGCTGTAGGAGATGGAATGTGACGGGCCCATACCTCTACGCCTCGGAAGGACCAATGTTGTTTCGAGCCTGAAGACGTCTTCGTTGGCGGCGGCGCCAATCGCGAAGCAAAGCCGGGCAGCCTGCAAGGTGGTGAGCTGGCTCCCATGTGGCTTGATCGTCAGGGGTCCCGCGCCACTTCACGAGGTACTGGGCTGCATCTCCCGAGTCGCGTTGGTCCATAATATAGTCGACTTCGTATTCCTCTGTGGGATTGCCTGCTGCATCGTGGATAGGAGGCCAGGCGGCGTCGGCTGCCGGGGGAACCAAAGCGGGAAGCCGGGGGCGGTGAGGAACTAGCTGCGAAACGTGGAAAACGTTATGGCATTCATAAGTGGGAGGCAGAGCGGAGACGGTAAGCGACAGTTCCTATGCGTTCGCTGACTGCAAAGGGTCCGCAGTAACAGGGCTTGAACTTAGGGCAGCTGTGGAAAGGCGGTAGGTGTGGGTAGGTGCTTGGCTGCTGAGCCAGACCTTGTCTCCCACCGCATATTCCACTGCTCGACGCTTTGTGTCTGCGTAGTACTTTTGCTGCCATTTCGCCTTCAGAATGTGGCTCTGTGCTCTGTCGCAGAGCTGCCGGAAAAGCTTAGTCATCGGAGGAGTGAGCGTAGGAGCTAACGCGTCTACAATATCAAGGTCCGCAGCAGTCAACGGGTTCTCGCCAATCATGACCTCGAAGGGAGAGAGCTCAGTGGATGAATGACTTATTGTGTTGTAGGCAAGTTCCAAGGCCTGAAGCAAGCGCTCCCACTCGCCTTCGTCAGATATGATATAGGTACGAAGCATCTGCTCCAGTGTGTGGTTAACCCGTTCAGTTTGGCCGTCGCTTTGGGGATGGTAGGACGAGGACATGCACCGTTTGCTGTTAAAGCGGCGACAGAGTTGGTTCCAAAGATCCGAATGGAAACGGGGGTCGCGATCCGATATGTGCACCTCGGGAAAACCATGATAGCGGATAAGGCGGTCTGCAAGAAGCTCTACGGTGTCTGCTGCTGTGAATGACTTCTTTGCAGGAATTAAATGAGCCATCTTGCTGAGGGAGTCGGCCATGACAAGAATCGAGTCGTGCCCTGTCGTTGTAAGGGGAAGATCTGTGATAAAGTCGAGATTCACGTGCGTCCATCGACGAGAAGGGATGAGCTACTGTTGAAGAAGGCCTGCAGGCTTCTGGTTAAGATACTTTGACGCTCGACAGGGAGTGCATGACTCAACATAAGCAGTACTGTAGGCGCGCATTCCTGGCCAGTAGTAGTGCTTGCTGAGAGCCGCAAAAGTCTTCTTCTGGCCTGGCCTCGATGTGATATGGTCGTGATGTGAATGCACAACGTGAGTAAGGAACTCAGGGGCAGATGCGCCACAGTCCATGAACGCAGATGCGCAGGTAAGGCTCTACGTAGCGAAAGGTGAATTGGCGACTACGGAACTCTACTTGCAGAGCTTCTCCTGGTTGGCTTGCTGTGGCTTTGTAGGGAACGCGAAAAACGGGACACTTCGAGTAAGCTTGCGGCCATTGGCGCACATCAGGAGGGTCAGCTGGTGTCTTCGTTGTAGGGGTAGGGTGTTCCGCTTCTGGGTTGGGTTCCGGCGGCGACGGTGAAGGTGCGGACGGCAGGCTGCGTCGTCTACGTCGTCGCGAACGAATTCCGGCGAGCTCCCTGTAGGCGGGAGGCCGACCACGAGAGCGGGGAGCCGCGCTCGCCTGTCCTATTGCGAGCATCAGTGGTACCGATGGTGTGTCGTGCGAGCAGGTGTTAGGAAGGC